ACAAAGGAAATGTCAAGCTTTTAGCCTAAAGCAATGTCCTAATTGTTTTGATTTTCTCCGTTCAATTTGCAGCAAATTGAGTTGCATAGTTGATGGAATTAAACCGGTTATGCTTTTACCAGCAAACCAACACTTCTCCACATTTAAAAGACTGATATAAGACCATTATAGCGAATGCAACAACAATCAATAATCTTTTTTTGAATTAAAGTAATAAGTTAAAATACTATTTTATTTATCTATGTTATCTTAACATTGTTGTAGTAACCTGTTGTTATAATAATGTTATAAAGTCTGCAACTTTTTAGATGTCTGTGATATAACTGCTGTGTTCAAATATTGTTTTTAAGATGAATATGTATTATTTTCTTTAAAAAAAAAAATACAATGACAATTTATTGTTTTTGTTTTTTATTTCAAAACCTGGTCTATAAAGTGAATTTTATAAAATGTACCCCAAAAATAACAACAATACTTCCTTTCTTTATGAGGGTGTTATAAAGATTTATATACTTCAAAAAAAAAATGTTTTTTTAGTATCTAGTTATAATCCATAGGTAATAGAAAAACTATGTTTTGCTAACTTATTCTCTGATACGGCTTCTAGGCTCCTACAAAACAAAAAAAAACTACACATTTTTATAATTAAAATTTTTACTCTAGTGCAAATACCAAAGTATTTAAAAAATAAAAACCCACTAAAACTGCTTTAATTTATAGGCTGACTTATTAGCTATCATAATATATCAAGTTTTTTGAATCCTGAATCTTTTTCTACATGCTAGCTCACTTAAGCCAACATTGTGGTTTTTGCGGTACGTATACCTGTAATGTGCCAATTTAGTTATAACGTTTTTTTTTTTTTTCTTTTTTTGATAACTTTTGTTACTACGTCAAATAACCCATTTTATATGCAATTGCATGTTTTAATATGTCAAGATGCAAGATTTGGTTAAACAAAATGTTTAATAGAAAATAAATAAAAATTGGTTTTATGTCATATTTATTTTATTTTAAATAATCTTTAGCAATAAAACCTTGAGACGCTTTTTTTTTTAAAGTACTTTATGTAATCATATAAACCCTAATGAAATCAATGTATTATTTATAATAACGCCTCATTAATTTTTTCTCAAGGAGAATTTTTCCGGGGGAAGATGATGCTTATTTTTTGTTTAGTGTCAAAAAAAAACTTCTCAACGTAGTTTAGGCGAATTAGTAAAACTTAAATCGAAAATGTTTATAAAAACCTCATTTTTGACAATCTATAACTTAGGTTTTAAATGAAATTTTTTGTCTAGACAAAGTCTTCTTTTAAATTTTTTAGTATTTATTTAAACCGACTGATACAAAGATTTTTTAGTATCAGTCGGTTTACTTCAAGTTGCTTTAAATAAAATTAAAAACCTCCTTAATTTAGACATGATTATAAAATTAAAAATTCTCCTTAATTTAGACATGATTATAAAATTAAAAAACCTCCTTAATTTAGACATGATTATAGATCAAAAGAGCTAGAACTTTGACAAAGTGTTAAAACCATAAATTTCCTGAAAAAATAAGTTTTTTTCGCCCAAAACTATAATGTTTTCCTCTTAATAAATTTTATTAAAACAAAAAAAAATTAAATGTTGTTTGTTGTAGCTCTTTTTCTTCTATTTTCTTGAGGAATATTCTATTGTTTAAATGTCTTTGCAATAGTTAAAGTAATTCGAGCACCGACTAAAAACCTCATTTAAAAATAGCATTTAATGAAAAATAAATCTAAAGTTAGGATTCCATAATTTTTGATTGGTCTTAATACTTTGAAGAAAACACTTGTGTTTTCCAGCTCAATTAAAAAAAATACATACATTTGCATTTATTCGTTTCATAACTTAAATTGCACACCAATTACTTTGGAAGTTTCTATAAAAAACATCCAAAAACTAGTGAAAAGCTTGTTAGAGAGAGAAATTGTATTTTAAAAGAAACTGAAAACTTCTTAAAGAACAAGAAAATAACTAAGCAAAAATCACTTGCACAAATATGAAAAAAATAACAGACAGACTAGAACTAACTGATCAATTTATTCTAGTCTGTCTGTTATTATTTTCATGAAAGCGAAATTAAAATCTATATGGAAATTTAACATTTCTAAGATATATAATAACATTTTTTTAAATTAACTATATATTATCTAGTTTAATGAAAGTTTTGAAAAACAAGTTCTAAACTCATTGCGCTGTGGTTGTTATAATGTTAACCACGGCTGCTAGATGATGCTAATCTCTAGCATTATCTAGCAGCCGTGGTTAACATTATAACAACCACAGCGCAATGGTTTGTATGGACCATGTTTAAGTATAGACCACTAAAGCATTAATGTTTAAGTATGGACCACTAAAGCATCTTTCTATATTTAACGTCTCAAACGAGGACGTAGGAAAACCATTAGTTATGAAAAAGGTGAAAAGAGGCAAAGTTTATTTATAAAGAAACGACCATTGAAATAAAAATCATGTTTGTGTTGATTGTGGTTTAATGATTTAATAATCACAGATTTTATTTAAGTTATTTCGCAATAGTAATGTTTGGTCGCATACATTGGATCAACGTTGGGTTTAGTTCGTAAAAACAACTAACTTTTTGCGATGTATTTACATACATTGGATCAATAATGATTTATATAGACTTAATCAACGTCGAAATATATATATTGGATCAACGTTGGGTTTAGATCATAGAAACAATCAACATTTTGCAGTGTTTTTACATACATTGGAAAAACGTTGATTTATAAACATTGAATCAATGTCGAGATATATACATTGGATCAGCGTTGGGTTTAGATCGTAAAAACAATCAATTATTTACGATGTTTTTACATACATTAGAAAAACGTTGATTTATATACATTGAATCAACGTCGAAATATATACATTGGAGTAACATTGGGTTTAGATCGTAAAAACAATTAATTTTTTGCGATGTTTTTACATACATTGGACCAATGTAAATTTGCCAGATGTTTTTAGTTCCGTTGGTAATAATTTTATCATTAACCAAATGACATTGGATCAACGTTGGTTTTGCATCGGGAAAAAGATCTGACGTTCGTGATGGGTTTAAATACGTTGGCCCAATGTAAGTATGCAAGCTGGGTAATAACAAAATTAAAAATATTTTGAATAATTTTAAAATTCTTTTATAATATGCTTTACAAGAACTTAAACTTTTATTTGATGATAATTCTTCTTCTTTATATCTGGTGATTTTTTCACTTCATCTTATTTGGTGATGTTTTTTCTTCTTTATATTTGATGGCACTCATGCTCAAAACTCTGAAGCGATGTTTTCGTTTTTTTTTATTTGGTAATATTTTTTTGTCAATTAAAAAGATATAATGATAAATATAAATATTTGTTTAAGTTATCTTACAGAGATTAGGAATAACAATAAACACTGGTATAAGGAAAGAGGGGTAGGGTAGTTTCGAGGAGGAGACAATACCCCCACCCCCTCTTTACTCTTGAAAAAATTCTGCCTTAATCCCCCTTAGTTTCCGTTATAGCATACACCCCCCAACTTTCTTGAACTTCCTAAGAAACTGACGATAAATATTTGTTATAGTTATCGCACAGAGATTATGAATAACGATAACTATTTATTCAATTAAAAAAACGTCTTCAAAACTTACAATGTAAATTCATTAAATCCGTTTGTCAGAATTTTAATTATTTTTAGTAAGTAATAAAGTTGGAAAGCACAGTCCACTACCTCAATACGTTAAAACTTGCAGCCGTTTCTTAAAACTTCAATCAATTTCGAAGTAGCTTTCTATCTCTAATTATAATTTATTAGCAAACTTTTATAAGTAACTTTTAATAACATTAAAAGTCTATATGTTTATATTTCTTTTTACATTTTCGAGTAAAAATATTTACTTTTCAAAAACATTTAGCGTGTTTTTTATATTCCCAAATATTATAGTTAACAACACTAAAATTAAAAGATGGAACATCAGAAAACTTTTGGAGGCTGACAAAAAGGAAAAAAATCAACTTTAAAGAAAACTCAATATTTTTTTCAGTATTAGTGTATAGATACTATGTATGTCCAAAGAGCTTGTTTGTTTTTTAAATTTTATTAATTGTTATTGTTATTTTAACTAAAGATATTTTACTTATTGTTAAACATTATACATTATTGAACAGTTTATACTCACACACCCTTATATTCACTCTTTTAAAATAAAGTTTATAAATATATTTATACACATTACTTTCTAAATAATTAATAGTCATATTTTAAAATGCACATATTTAAAAAATAATCTTACCTTGTCATAACTTGTTTTTGTTTTTAGCTGAAAAAAAAACAACATTATAATTTGTAAAATAAGCTATTTGTCAAATAATTTTAGAAAAATAAATATATTTCTTTATTTCGGTGACTAAGTTCTTAAAAAGAGGTAAATAGGGTTGATATAATATAGGTTGTTTTTTTAAATTATTATTCTTTTTACAAGTCATCTTTATTTGCCATTAAAATCAACATTTTAAGATTTATAAATGCCCAAAAAATATCTTTTGAAAGATATTTTTTGGGCATTTACATTCAGAAAAAAAACCTTTGGGAATTCATTCATGATTTTTTGAAAAACCATTTTTTTTTTAGCGTAACCACTTTAAAATTAGCAATTTTTTCCGGAAATAGTTAAAACATTGTGTTTTTTACATATTCTCAATGAGCTAACGTTAGCTTTATTCAAGTATGATAACTTAAATATACTTTTAAATTTGAAAATAAGCTATTAAAAGTTTAAATAAAAGTTAAAACTGTCTAAAATATAAAAAGTTAATTCTATACTCTAATTTATTATAACAGTTATTACCAACAAACTTTTTTTAGTTATAAGCGATACCAGTAAAAGTATTAGTTACCAGTAATGACTAACTTTATTTATTTTTCAAAGAAATACTTTAAAGGTTTTATCATAGAAAAATTAAAGACAAAGGAAAGAAGTAAGGTTATACTTTTGAAGTAGTTTAGTTTATTATTTTTAGCTATATCTTATTTTTGAGTTAAAATATGAGTAAATAATTCTAAAAAAACGACCAATCAATAATCAACATGCACACATTACATGCAAGTTGATTGTTGATTGGTCGTTTATGAAAATGATTTTGCAATTCAATTATAAAAAACTTTTTAAGTTCAGTTTTGAATACTTTGGTGATATGGAGAAAATCTATGGTAAAGATTACTTAAATTTTTAATTATTATGCATTTGTCATTTTTATTTGTTATGCGTTTTTCATTTTTATTTGTTATGCATTTGTCATATTTATTTGTCATGCAATAAAGAAATAAACATATTTATTTTTAGTATTTGTATCTGTAATAGTGTTCTCTTTTCTGTTTTATCTTCGAGTTTATAACTCTCTCCCTATCGAAAGAAAAAAAATTGACGACTCATTTACGGATCTTCCTGTTGCCCGTGGATGTTACGACATAAATAATAATTTTTTTCTGCCTGGACAAAAAATAAGTACAAACTACGATAAAAATTCCAAGTGGTGTTATGGTAGTTACTGCTCCGAAAATGGCTCAATAATTAGTTGGGATGATTGGAATTGTAATCTATTTGATGCAAAAACAACGCCAACATTGAAGTCAAAAAGTCTTAATAAAACGAATTTTCTTATAAAAATGAACATGAAGAAACAAAGTGAGTAAATAAAAAAAACACAACAAAGTTTATAACAATCATTTGGTTTGAAACAAAATTTTTTTTCTCTTGTACTAATTTATTACGAAAGCAAGAAAAAATAAAAATAACGCAATCGTGTTTATAAAGAAAGCAAGCATTTATTCGTATTTAAAAAGAAAACAAATCTAACAGAATACCCGGTGGGAAATAAGTTAGCAACTACCTAGCGAAAAGGTTTTTAGCATAAAAACCTTCGCTATTTTTTAGGCAAATTTTTTTGATTCATAGTATGGAATTAATTTTTTTTTTTTTTTTTTTTTTATAATTTAGCCGTACAAATATTTACAAGTTCCGTAATTTAAAATATTTAAAAATGGCAAGGACGAGAAGAAGACGGGGTTGTCTTATCACCAAGTCCCTTGTTTGTCTAGACATTTATATAAATACATGGTAACTAAAATGAAAATTAAAAAATTAAGAAAAAAGCAAAATATTACAAAGAAGTTTATATAAAATGCCAAATAGTTTAATAGTTCAAAGTTTTGAAAGATATTTTTTCGATTTTATTTTTTGAAAGAAAAATTTAAAAGTTCATTCAGAAAAACAAAAATATCAAAAAACTGAAAAACATGAAAAAAGTAAACGTAAAATTTAATTTACAATCTGTTCTTATAAAGTGTAATATATTAATTCCTCAAAAACAAATTACAAAATATTAATATAAAAAATTAAAACTCAAAAAAGATTACTTTTTTTATTTTTCCTCTCTCTCTCTTATTTAAGAAAACTAATAAATTTATTTAAACTAATGAAATCTAAAAATGCTAAAAATCTTTATAAGTACTTTTTTTATAATATAACAGACTGTAATACCTATATAAAATTAAAGAATTTAGACCTTCCAGACAAATAAAGTATGCATTAGTAGATAGTTTTAAAATATAATATTTTTATAGATAGATTTAAAAATAATTATCTGTTTGTTCATTATTTAAAAGTAATAGTTTTAGTTTTTGTTTAAACTGATCAAGAGTTTTAAGTGTTTTAATATCATTACTGATTATCTTATTCCATGCATTAGGTCCTCTAACAGTTATTGAAAACTTGGTGGAGTCGTATATAGTTTTGGGTTGAACAAAGTTGTTGTTAGAATATTTAGTTACGTATTTGTGTTGAATTTTATTAAATAATGGTTTAAAGATATTTGGTATTGAATTGTTATTAATTTTATACATAAAAATCAGAAGATGATATATATTTATTTGGTACACATTTAGTATTTTTAGATTGTTAAACAATGGTCTTGAGTGTGAGAGGCGGTGTGCATTTGATAATAATCTAATTGCATGTTTTTGTTTGCTAAATAGCTTTTTTATCTTATAGTTAAGAAGATATATAGTTTATCTTATAGTTAAGAAGATATTTTATCATATAGTTAAGAAAATAATTGAATTTATAGCAATGCAATTTAAATACGACATTTAGATACGGGATTGTCTACAAATTACGTCACGATTTGTTACTAAGGGTCCAAAAATTGAGTAACGTCATTTATGGTTATCGATATTACTAAAATGCATCCTTAGCAACATATCGTAGCATTGTAGCTAAATACAACATAACAATAAATCTGTAGATAGCTGGTGATTAAATTTTGCAGCTTGGTAGCTAGCGATATCATCACAAAATATTGATAGCTACAGATTGTAGCTATCTAGCTAACAATTACATAACAAAAAATCTGAAGCTAATAATATATATATATATATATATATATATATATATATATATATATATATATATATATATATATATATATATACATATTCTGATATATATATATATATATATATACAAGGCCGGCGTGGGGGGTGTAACACCCCCCATCAATGATTTTTAGTTGGAAAATTTGACTCTTAGTCGGCAAATGTCGACCCTTTCCATATAGAGTAGTTGGTAGTTTAATTAGTTAGTCGCCAAATGTTGTCATGGCAGTCGGCAAATTTTCGAAAACGAGGACCTTTTTTTTTTTTTAGTCAGCAAAAGTGATAATGGCACCCCGCCACGTGACACCTACTCGCGCCGGCCCTATATATATATATATATATATATATATATATATATATATATATATATATGTATATCAGAATATATGTATATATATATATATATATATATATATATATATATATATATATATATATATATATATATATATATATATATTCTTATATATATATATATATATATATATACATATATATATATATTCTGATATATAAGTATATATATATATATATATATCTTTTTTTAGTCGGCAAAAGTGATAATGGCACCACCCCCCCTACGTGACACCTACTCGCGCCGGCCCTGTATATATAAATATATATATATATATATATATATATATCAGAATATATATATATATATATATATATATATATATATATATATATATATATATATATATATATATATATATATATATGTATATATATATATATATATATATATATATATATATATATATATATATATATATATATATATATATATATATATATATATATATATATATATATATATATATATATAGGTGAAGGTTGTGTAAGATGAGCAGGTTCCTAAGATGGTATAACCTCTTTTACGGGAAGATTAATGATTCTTTCGCAAACTTTTTTGGTTAAGGATATTTATACAAGTTCGAAGGTGTAATTTATTTTAATTTCTTGGTTTTATAGCTAATATTCTTTCTTAATTTTACTGTTAAAAAAATTTACCATCCATGTTATAATTTTTTATTATTTGATATTTTGTAATTACGTCAGAACGAAACAAGATCTTCAAACATTTATGACATCCCTAATATTTTATGCTTATCTACTGCTAACCCATAATTCCATGGGTTACATGAGATAATACATAAACTGTTGTCTTGCTATTTAAATGATAGTACTTGGTGAAGTTGCTTAAGATGATACGATTTTAGACGCTCAAGATGAAATGCGGCTTTTTATTATGAAAAGCACGTTTTTTTAAAGTTATTTTCCGCAGAGCTTTATTTTGATATTTCAAGAGCGAAAGTTTTTTCTTTTAAAAGCAAACGATTTAACATGCCTAACCAAATTAGGAAACGAGCAGCTGATAAAAAAAAGCTTCCAAATGCTGCAACGTTAGCTGGATATTTTAAGTAAAAAAGTTAATTTGATCTTCTTTTTATAATAATTAGTTTGATATTAACTAGATATAGATATTAACTAGATATAGATATTATCTATACGTTAAATTTTTTTATGATAGTACTTTTGTTATTATTTGTTTCTTAATTTTACGCGAGTTTTTTTAATTTTGGTATAGTTCAAAATTCGAAAGTTTATTATTAATTACTTACGTTTCAAGTTTTTTTTATTATCGACAGTTCTCAAAATGTAACTAGAGCGCGAAGGTTATTTAATAAACGAGTTTTTTTAAGCTTATTCGTTAAACGGTTACGAATATTCGTTCATTTTCATTTTATTCGTTAAACAAATACTGAACAAATAATTACTGTTCAAAAATAAATGCTTAACGAATATTCGTTAAACAAATATATTCGTTCCCGCTTATTCGATGTACGAATAAAATAATCGTTCAGCAAATAAGTAGTAACGAATATACTCGTTAAAAAAAGAAGAGTTTCATTTAACTCGGATATTAGTCACTAACTTAGATATATCTACAACATTTTTATGATTTAGTTATATCACATTGCCGAAGTGAGTGTTGAATGATATTTTTATTTATTTTTTTAATTTTTTTTATTATCCTGTGATCTATAATGTAGATCACAGGAAAATGAAAAAATATATAAAAATATTATTAAACACTCACTACGGCAATGTGGCATAGATTATATATACTTGCAGGGACGTCCTTAGGGGGTGGGGGCGTAGGGGGTTAGTAACCCCCCGACCAATTTTACGAGTTGACAAAAATATGCTTAGCCGGCCAACTTAGACCTTCAGTCGGCAAATATCAAAAACCGAGGACTTTTTTTTTTTTAGACCTTAACTATTTCAACTTTGTACTTTAGTCGGCAAAAAAACAAACTTTACCCCCCCTCCTTCCCTTTTAAATTCTCTTCGGTACGTCCCTGTATACTTGCCGAAGGCCATCTGATGGTAATATTATCAACTTTTCAGAATAATTTAAAAATTTTAATTAAAAATGACAATGAAAAAAAAATAATTCATTATGTATAACAAAGTATATTTTTTTGTACATAATTTAACTCATTTTGTATAACAGAGTATATTTTTTGTAGATATTTTCTTATTTTTTATTGATATCTTCTTCAAACATCGGCCAGGTGATATTTTCCATCTCCTTCAGGTTTTCTTTCATGAAAACTATCATTTCATTATTGTCAATGCTAAGGCTATTTCTTCTTTTCGTTAGAACGTTTCCAGCAGTTAAAAATACTCGTTCCGAGGTTGATGATGATGCAGGGATGCATAAGATCTTGCTAGTCTGCTACAATCTTGTACGGTTAGTCTTCCAATATTCAATAATTTCTGCGTTATCGTTTGCAACTCCTTCACCGACATAACGTGCTATCTCGCTTTTGGCATAAGTTAACGGACAATTTTTCTCAGTGTTTTTATTTTTATTTTGCCCATACAGCTTCTTTACAGCAGCAGTTAAAGCTTCTTCATCGGACGAATTACCATTTTTGGATGATTGAGTAACGTTTTCAATGCATGTTGGACTTTCGCAAACATCTCTTCGCCGCATATCAATTATAGCTTGAGTAGCGGTATGAGTATTCTTGGTGTTTTCGTATCTTTGCTCATCAAGTGCAAAAATGATTGATTCCTTTTGTCTTGGATCAAGAAAATGTGCCATTGAATACTCAGGTACTTTATGACTACAATCAGGAAAACGTTGTTGGAATCCTGCTATTAGCGCTTGAGTTATATTCGTGACACATGTAAGAGAACTTAGTTTTCCAATTTTAGATAATTTTTTCTTAAGATTATAGATTTTCATTATAACCAAGTTGATTGTTGGGTCTTTGTCAGAGCTTAAAACTTGAAATTTTATCAATAGGATCAAGACATTCAATAATACCTTTAATAATATTAGCTTCTACAACAGTGGGCAACAAATCTTCAATTTTAGTTGACGTTTCTGCCATAAAAGACAAGCACCCTTTTAGATCCATAATGGATTTTAACTGTCTCAAGTCAGAATTCCAACGAGTTGGTACTTTCTGGATAAGTTTAGTTCGTGATTGCTTATGCTCAATAGCAATTTTCCTTAAAATACTCGTAGCCTTAGAAGAATGACTGAAGTACCCAACTAATTTATTTAGCTTTAGTGCAACTTCTAACCACTCAGGAACACTAGCTAGAGCTTGTGTGACAATTAAATGTATCTGATAATCAGCACACCAAAGATTATTGTTGATAACATTGCTAATGCGCATAGCTTTCATAATATTTGATCCTCCATCAGTCGTCCCCCATGTATTTATTTTATTCTCCAAACACAAGCGTTTTATTAAGTAATCTAACTTTTTTACGATATTTTCGGCATTATGTGCATCCGGAAATGAATCAAGTTTAACAAGAAGTTGTTTAAGTTGAAAACATTTTGTAGTAAAATGTAGAGTGAGCAATTGGAAAGCAAGGTCATTACACGAAGTCCAGATATCAGTAATATAGGCACAACCGTCAAGGTCAATCTTCTCACTGTCAATAATTTTGTTCACATGATCACTGATGAATTTATATAGCTTAGGAATTCTGTCTTGAGAAAGTGATTTTGATGAAACAGGGTTTTCCTTCCCTTTGTTGCTTGCTTCATTATTTCATGAAAATATTTACTATCCACTATCCTAAAAGGTAAATATTCGTGGGCAATCCACTTAGTCAATGATGTAACTATATTTACATTGTCAATGATTTAACTATATTTACATTTTCAAAATGGTCTTTGGGCCATGAATTAACTACACGGGAAGTTTTAGAGACTTTAGCATTTTTCGACTTACCAGATGATGTTAAAAATTGAGAGTATGATTCAGGAGAGGCAACAAGACGAGCTCGTTTGGGTGTACTGATGAAATTGGTTTCTGAAGAGTCTTCATCATCAATAACGCGAGACTTTTTTCCAATCTGTTGAGCATAATTGAGTTTCTTATATCCCAAAAAAACATGGCAGTGCTGCCCTTTTAGATGATTAATAAGACCTGAAGTAGCACCGGCTTTAGCAGCAAGTTCCTTTTTGCACGCATTACACTTTGCATGAGTAGTGTCAGTCATTTCAAAGAAATCCCAAATACAAGTCTTTCTGGGCATTTTATGAAGAGAAGCAGCTTGCACCTGAAAAAAAATATTCAAATGTTTAATCTAAATTTAATTTTAATTGAAATGAAATTCTTTTAGAATATCATTAGTATAAACAGAAATTAATTAAGATAAAAATACCTCTGCTGAATATCAGCACGGGTAATAGCTAATATTTAACAAAATTTATTATATTGCTTCATTTCGCAATATAATAAAGTTTGTTAAATAATAGCTATTACCCGTGCTGGTTTTTGGAACAGATATTTCTATCAAGTATATCTATAAAATTCATATACATAATAAGTAAAATAAAAAATTATATAAATTAGGGTTTCACATTTTCCGTAAGTTTTGCATCCCGGGATTCCCCGTATGAAACTTTGTTATCCCGGGATTTCCCGGAATAAAAATAATATAATAACAAACAAGCGGTTTCTGAGGAAATTTTTTATTAGCACACTAATCTTAATTATTTATTGAAATATTACCTACCCGGAAACCCTTCCCATAAGTATACCCAATTTTTTGATTTAATTTAAAGCAGTTTTCCAAAGAGAAAATTCTTTGCCCATTAATTTTTCTTTACAAAAGTATTACCATCCTTTCGCTCCACTCACTATTGACATCGTACAATTATTATGAATCGTAAAATAATCTTCTCTAATTAAAAAAAAAAAATACTGGTTAAAAATTACTATTATTATTGCAAAAAATAAAACCATTTAAAAACCTGAAATGATATTTTTGTTCAGAGTTGGACGCTTATACACAACTAAATTTGATTTATTAAAATGAATAAATTGCGTAAAAATTTACCTGTAAAGTTATCTTGCTGAAGATTAATTTAATTTAAATATTTCGTTGATATAATATATAATAAGCAGAAAAATATTACTTATCAATTAGAAAAAAACTTATAAATAATGTTTCTTTACTTGTTTTATAAAGTAAAGTGACAGCAATAAATTGTGATAATTAGGGGAGACCGGGGTTGGTTGCAACAGGGGTAAGATGCAACAATGCGTTTTAAAGAATAATTTTTACATATTATTTTTCAATTTTTTTACATTATATAACTATAATTATGACACGCAAGTTATAAAAAACTTATAGTAATAAACTTAAAAATTTAAAAGTTATTGATAATTGTTTTTTTTCTATATAAATTTCTAATTTTCGTTTCAATGTTTTTTTGGGTTTTACAAAAAACTAAGAAGTATATGACAATAATAAAATAATAGTAAGTTAAAAAAATCTTTTTCAAACACAAAAAGTAAAAAAAAATAGATTTTTTTAATATGGCTAATTGTATGCATTGATTAGAGTGATCATGATGCCTACGGGGTAAGTTGCATCAAATTGCTCGGGGTAAGTTGAATCACAAAAGAACTGCGGACTTTATTAATTTTACGCACTTTTCTAAATAATCGACTTTTTTTTAATAACAAGACAGCAAAGAAGTTTTTGAAAAAAAATTATAATTTTAAAGATAAGACTATGTAACGTACATATGTATGTTATATTTATAAAGCATATGTATATATGTCTAATAATATAAAAGATAAGTTTATATTCTATGTTTATATTTATATTCGAGGATTATATAATCCTCGAATATAAATATAAACATAGAATATAAACTTATCTTTTATATTCAAAGACATATATATATATATATATATATATATATATATATATATATATATATATATATATATATATATATATATATATATATATATATATATACATACATATATATATATATACATATATATATATATATATATATATATATATATATATATACAGTGTGTATATATATATATATACAGTGTGTATATATATATACAGTGTGTATATATATATATATACAGTATATATATATATATATATATATATATATATATACAATGTATATATATATATATATATATATATATATATATATATATATATATATATATATATATATATATATATATATATATATATATATATATATATACATTTATATATATACATTTATATACATACATACGTAAAAGTTATAATTACATTATTAAAATATTATTATTATTAAGTACATACTTAAAACATTAATAGGTATATAAATAAATGTAGCAATTTAGACTAAATTATATAAAATGATTTTTGTAATGTGTTTTTTTATTGTTATGTTATTTAGAGGTTTAATAAAAATTGTAAATGCGAACTTACAAGAGAAAAACTGAAAAAGGACTTTATCCAAAAGAAGTAGTAATAGAGGCAGCAAGCCACGTTATTGATGGAAGAGTAACATCAGTTCGTGCATCAGCAAAAAAGTTTGGAATCCACTACTCGACTCTTTCTCGTTATATAAAAAAAGTTAAAAAAGCTGTTGATATGGGAATGCCACTACCTTATCCTGGATATAAAAAGAATCAAGTTTTTACTTATGAACAAGAAATAGCTATTGCTTCATATATATCAATATGTTCTGATATCTATTTTGGATTATCACCATATGAAACAAGAAAGCTTGCATTTGAATGTGCAGTAAAGTATGGTATTATTTTTCCCAAATCGTGGTTAAAACATTCCATGGCTGGTCCTGATTGGATGAGAGGGTTTTTAAACCGACATCCAAGATTGTCTATCAGAACTCCAGAAGCAACAAGTCTTGCACGAGCAACTAGCTTTAATCGTGCTAATGTAGGTGTTTTTTTTCAAAAATTATCAGATGTTTTAGATAGGCATCATTTTTCTGCATCAAATATCTTTAATGTTGATGAGACTGGTATCACCACTGTGCAAAAACCAAACAAAATAATTGCTCGTAAAGGCATTAAGCAAGTGGGTGCATTAACTTCTCAAGAGCGAGGGACATTAGTGACAATGGTAATAGCCGTAAATGCATATGGCAATAGTGTGCCTCCAATGTTTCTTTTTCCAAGAAAGAAATTCTTTGATCACTTTATTCGTGATGGGCCAAATGGCTGCATTGGTGCTTCGAATGGATCAGGCTGGATGAATGAGGAGTGCTTTATTACTTACATAAACCACTTTATTCGACATGTAAAGCCATCAAAAGAAAGCCCTGTGTTATTACTTTTAGACAATCATCAATCTCATTTATCTATTCAATTAATAACATTGTGTAAAGATAATGGTATAGTTTTGCTTTCTTTCCCTCCTCATTGTTCGCATAAGTTGCAACCTCTAGATAGATCTGTATTCGGACCATTTAAAAAATGCTTAGCTAATGCACAAGACTCATGGATAAAAAGTAGTCCAGGGAAAACAATGAGTATATATGATTTACCAGGAATTGCAAAAATAGCATTACAACATTCTCTTACACAACAAAATATATCTTCTGGTTTTAGAGTGGCAGGAATATTGCCATATAATAAGGATATATTTTCAGATGCAGATTTTGCTCCATCATTTGTTACGAATCGTCCAGCAACCCAATCTAATGCAGCTATTGATATTAGTATATCAACTTCAACCTCAGATGCAATTCCATCTGCAGTTTCAAAATTTTCCCCTGAGGTTGTAAGACCGCTACCAAAAGCACGACCCAGGAAAGAAATACTCACTAGATCAAAGAGAAAGCATACAGAAGTACTCACAGATACACCAGTAAAACAGCGTCTTATGGCTGAAAAAGAAATTAGTTCTAGAAAGCGAAAATCTGCTAGTACTTCTGCATCAAAAAAAAAAACAATAAAAAAGTATAATTGTTGACTTGAAATGTAATGAAACTCTTTAGTTTCTTTAATGCTAGTTTGTTTTTTTATGAGCCTTTATTGCTTGGAAATTTTTTTTTTTGTTATCAAAGTTAGATTATTGTTTATTTTTATGAAAGTTGTGTTTTATATTATTTATAAAACTACTCTTGCATTTTTATAAATTGATTTAATGTTTACTGAATAACTAAAGGAATACTTTTTTAAAAAAACACTTAAAAGTTTAAATAATATATGAGCTTAAATAATAATCCTCATTATTTTCTTTCTTCAGTTTTTAAAGTCTTTGAATGTAAGCATTAGTTTACTAAACATGTCAGGTACATGTCAAGTCTAAAATACTACTTTTCTTTTCTTTTAATTATAATGTTTTGTTGCCAAATAGAAATTACAGATTAACTAGTAATTTTTATGTGAACTCTGCAAAGCTTATACTTTAAAAGTATTGTGTTGCAACTTGCCCCGTGCACTGTTGCAATTCGCCCCGGTGCGGGGTAAAATGCAACATATTTTTGTTTCACTATTGCGGAATAACTAAATTTGATATTTTATTTATCAATGTTGGATTAATACGTAACTTAAATCTATTTTATAACCCTGAAAAATAAAATCGAAAAAATATATATTTAAAGGGTATAAGTTACGTTTTTAAAATTTTGTTGCAACCAACCCCGGTCTCCCCTACAACAAATTGTGGTTAATTTCGTAGTTTAAAGATAAATAGCAATAAATAATTTAACAATTAGGGGAAGTGGGGGCACAACCGCATATGGAGGCACAACCGTTTTTCAACATTTCCCTTTGAAAAATGTTATCTAATATGGCAAAAAAAAACAGCATGCGTCGGTAAAACAGTTTCCTTCATTTCGCTTAGGGGAAGAGGGGGCATAACAGCCCTCGTAACGTTTAAATTAAAGAAATATGAAAATTAAAACGACATGTGTTTTTTTTTTAACCATAAAAATTTGCCATAAAAAGTTACGTTTTTAAGTCATAAAAGATTTTTATTTAAAATTTATATAAAAAGAAGTTTATCTTTTTAAAATATAATCTTCATTCACATCTGCATAGATATAAAAGAATTTTTTATATCTTAAATGCAGGACCGACGACACCTGAGAGGCCAGGGGAACACTAATCCCTGCACTTTTATTTTTCAGGACCTTTTTTTTTTAGAGATTGACTTAGAAAATTGACAAATTTTTTAGAAATAAGGAAGCAAGCCCCTCACTTTGAAACCCGTGTCATCGGCCCTGAAATGATGAAATGACTTTTAATTTTTTTAAAGACGCGAATGATTGTACCTCCTTATTATTATATTCCGTTTTTTTACCACTTGTACTTTTATATTAAACTTGTACGCCACCAGCGTATGTCGGTGGCGGCTTCGTAAATGAATTGTGACCTGAAGGTTGTTGGTATAACATAACTCTGAAATTCCCTTAAAGAGTCTAACTCGCAATATTGAAATGTTTATTTAAAATTTTCAAATATTAAAAAATAAAATTTAATAATATATTTCTAAAATACAAACTGTGTTTATTTTATATTCGATTGAAAGTAATATTCGTTTGACAAATAAAATTCGCTTAACAAAAAAAATTATATAAACAAATAATGTTCGTTGAACAAATAATAATTCGTTTAGCGAATAAAAGTAAACCAATATATATTCGTTCCCGTTTATTTGTTCGACGAATATATATTTGTTAAACGGTTATTATTTATTAAACAAAAATTGGTTTACGAATATATTCGTATCTTACGAATAATTTAAACGGTTAGTTTTTACGAATATTGTTTAACGAATAATTTAACCAAATATTCTCTAAAGATTATTCGTACATTGATATTTGATAAACGAATAACCGTCGCGCTCTAAATGTAACCGA